TAAAATATTTATTGTTATGATTTTAAATATGTATTTAACCTCAGAATGATCTCAAAGTAAGTCTGATTTTGTGGTGACTGTGCTTCAAAGGGGACATTGATCTTCCACAATTTGGTATGATTCTTCAGGGTCTTCATGAACGGTCTGCAACATACTTTGGTTAAAATACCTCAGTGGTCGTGTAAAACAACACAATTTTTACCTTGCTCTTATCACAGCGACTCATTTTGGGGCATGTCCCTTTAAATGCTAATGAGCTCTGCTCACCCGCCCCTTTATTCATGGAAGAGCAAAGGCAATTTGCAAATAATCATAAAAAATATAAAGTGTCAGACTTACTTCTTCTGGAGGTGCAGCTGGATCACGAACACTGGGTACTGATCTATCCTTGAGCTTTAACTTTTTAACAAAACCTGCCTTGAAAATCAAAACGACTTGATAATTGAGACTGTTTAGAATTTTGGGGGATTAAAAAAAAAAGAAGGAGTGAATGGATTTTTATCATTGTAGGGTGGTTGTGTCCACACACTGCTAAGATACATTTATATGCAAACACCATGTAAAAGTGAATTTTGCATCCAATGTCTACTTTAAATTTCTACTTAAAATTTTTACATATAATCTTAATTCAAGTGATGAAGGATTTCAAAAGTGGGACAGTAATCAGTGTTGAGTACTACTGTAAGGTTTACCCTGCCTGGTTTACATGTTTGAAAATGATAAACAGTTGAAAACATTAGAAATTTTGAAAAGTAATCAAAAAGTAATCAAATGTAATCAGTTACATTACTTTACTAAAGTAATTGAAAAGTTACACTACTTATTACATTTTAAGTAGGGTAACTTGTAATCTGTAACCTATTACATTTCCAAAGTAACCTTATGCACAGTTAAGCAACAGTATGTACATTGGTTTGTGAAGATTTATGTTCAAGCAAATGGTGACAACAATTGTTACATTGCAGAGTAAGATGAACAAGTATGTTATTACTCCAAATATGAATGCAGGATAAATGCTTGTCTCAGGCAGTTTCAAAGAGTGTAATGTGAGAGGACAGATCCATTTGCATACATGTTGTTTACAAAAGTGATTAATGCTTGTCAACATAAACCGTAATCTAAAGTTATGTTGGTTTTCAGAATGGATCTTTGTCATTGTTTCATTTTGCCATGAATCATATTTCTTACAACCTGAAAAAGTAATAAACAGACAACAGATAAAATAAAAATTTATTCAAGAAAATTAAAAGCAGAATTTCCTTGTAAAATTCACATGGCAGCAGATTAATAAAGCACATTACTGTATAAGTTAAATTATAATGTTTAGTTCTCATTAAAAGTGCTTAAGCCAATTGGCTGTTTGAGATTTGTAATAATGTGGCCTATCGGCACAAACTGTCATCAGACAAACTGCCTTAAAAGCAGCACAAGTCAAGGATCACTGAATGAGCCTTATAGCCTTATATACTGCATATGTATTTTTCTAGCCCATGTCATATTTGTACCAGACCTCAAAAGTAACCCGGGCCGAGGCCAGGGTGGCCCCTCGCTTTCACCTTAAGTGATCATCCTTCAGCACTGTTGAATGTCACCTGTAGGCTAATGATTTATATACTTATGGAAAAAAATCCCTTTTGCATTGGGTTAGTCGGGTGGTGTTATGTAGCATGTACACATTGCATTCATATCAAATGAGAGCTCTGCTTTTGGATGTCATAAAACAGAGATGCAAAGTAATTATATTTTAATATAACATTTGGCCTGTGATAAATTATGCCATCTGGATAATATTATTCGCATGATGGGTGTGAGTGGGGATGGTTGACACAATGGTTTTAGGGTTAATTGCATGGCATATATAAAATAATTTATAATTAATTGATAGTTCAGCTGAACTGAACATTTATTACTCAAACAAGAACTGGTGATTTACGTGCATTTCAAAGATGAAATAACATGCCAAAGAAACACTTGTTCTTCCTTGTAGGTTATTACAGATAAAAAAAAATGAATATATGGTAACTGGTAACAACAACTTGTATCTTAAGCACTTGATGATCTGAAGATGAAAAAGTCAGATACATATGTAGCCAATATAAAATTTGTGATAAAGATTATTATGTAGCAAATAAAAATTTGAATATATCATATGATTAAATCATCATTTTAATATATAATATGACATTTGATGTAATTTCTTACATAAACATCAGTTTACGGTTTATTATACACTGTTTGTCTTTCTTTTAAAACAGCTGACAATTTTCTGTCTAATTTCCTTGGTTTTAAACCCATAAATAAGTGGATTCACAATGGGAGAAAACACAAGAATACATATAGAAAACATGTGCAATAAAAGGGAAAAAAGTGTTGAACTCCAAGAACAGGAAGACCACTGTGATGACAAATGCGTCACTGTGATGACAAATGTGTACCACATGTCTGAAGTGCCTTAATCTTTGCATCAGACTGCTTATTGGTAACACAAGTGATTAATATGTAAATGCCACAACAGAAAGTGAAATACAGTGGTATAAAGATAAAATAAACAATCCATAGATATTGTTCACTGTTGTGTCTTCACTCATGGTTTTAGCAGACAAGATGAATTTCTGGCAAATCTCGTATGGCATTAGAAGACAGAAAAGTACAAATATAATAATAAAATGAATCAGCCACATCACAATTAGGATTTTCACTAAGTTACTGGTAGTCATAATGGCTCCATATCTCAATGAGAAGCAGATAGTGATATACCTGTCAAAGGCCATAGCTGTCAGAATTACATGAGACGCACCACCATACAAATATACAAAAAAGCCCTGAAGCAAACATGCAAGATATGATTGTTACGGGGCTGACGAGACGTGAGACTTGCGGATCCATTCGCAGAGCTTTTATTGGAGAAGACAGAGACGTGGTCATACAGCAGGCATGGGTCAGATGAGGGCAAACAGGTATATGGTGGGCAAAACACAAGAATAGTCCTAGGGCTAGCGCAGGTCGACGATCGGCAGACAGAATCAAAAGGGGCAAGACAAAAGGGGTGAATCCAGGGAACCAGGCGAAGATCAGAAACCGAGAAGGCTAAGGCTAAGGCTAAGGCTAAGGCTAATGACTAGGGCTAAGGCAAATGACTAGGGCTAAGGAAATGACAAGGGCTAAGGAAATGACAAGGGCTCCGTAAGGTAGGGCTAATGACTAGGGCTAAGGCAAATGACTAGGGCTAAGGCAAATGACTAGGGCTAAGGCAAATGACTAGGGCTAAGGCAAATGACTAGGGCTAAGGCAAATGACTAGGGCTAAGGAAATGACAAGGGCTAAGGAAATGACAAGGGCTCCGTAAGGTAGCTATCTCTAGGGGAGTGATAAATGCTGAAACAATACTCGGCAGAGGGAAGGGATAAGAGTGAGTGTTATATAGTGAGGGAGTGATATGAAACAGCTGGGTGCAATCAGTGTAAACAGGTGTGTGCAATTCGTGCTGAGTGCAATCAGTAATGCATGATGGGAAATGTAGTCCGGGGTGCTATGCAACAGTTTGTGTGGTGCGAGAGTCAATGAAAAGGAAAGTTCATGGACCGGATTCGTGACAATGATATACATATTAAACACATTGCTTTCTCACTGAAAAAGTCATCTTGTCTGAATCAGGAGAAAAATATGTACAGAGCAAAAAAAGAGGCAAAAACAGTTCACATAAATATGTCATTGATTTTGATTTGAGAGGACAACAGGGGATATAATTTTTTTGTTTGGATTAAAGACTTGTTTTGGCCAGAAGCAACGATTTGAAGTAAAAAAAAAGAAGAAGAAAGAAACAAACAAACAAAAAAAAAAGAATCTTGATGGATTTATTTCTTACAAACACAGTTTTTCACTTCACAAGACATTTTTTTTGAAAACAAGACATTCTCATTCTGACGGCACCCATTCACTACTGCAGATTTTCTTTTTTTTTGAGTCAACTATTCCTTTAATATTAAATGGAAAATGTAATGAAAAAGTACATACTTTTATTACAGTGTTTATTGGTTTTGAAAATGACATTTCGCTTTGCTCAAAGATCTTGTTGATCTTGCTCTCTGACAAGTACATGCTCTAGAGAGAGAAATCAAGTATGCGCATTGTGCAAGAGGATGTAAGGAAATCTCGTGTATGGACACAGTTTGGCTGCATTTATGCAAATGACTAGTCAGTGCTCTCATATGCAACTTTTTTCTCCACACATAAATACACAAATTGGTCAAAATTCTTTGTGAATGAAGATCAGTATGAGAATTAATGTTTATGTCAAACATTGTTATTATGTTTGTGAACAAATACTTTTCTTTATTTTCATCAAACTGCAATTGCTAAGCCTTTGGAAATAACCTTCCTTTTTAAATGTATATAAAACCTGGATTATGAAATATAAAATTTTTTTTTTCAAATATATAGAAAATGCAGTCATATTACAGAATTAATTTTAGACTTTTATATAAAAATTTTTAAACATCTGTATACATTTAAAAAAGCACTATAGAAGTGGATTGATGATGACTGCTTTTGTTGTCAGAGTTGCTACTGACTACAGATCAATAAAACTGAATATACAGTGATTAAAAACAGTAACCCACATATGTGAAAGAAGAAGAAAGTATTATTAATAATATTAAACTTTTTGTCATTTCCCCCCATTAATCTGTTTTCATATATATAAAAACAGTATAGACTAGCTAATAATGTTTGTTACTTTATTATAAATAGGATTTTAATTTTAATTAAGATAAGACATAGCTGGTCAGCAGATTAATGAAAATTAGTTTAATTATATTTTAACTATTGTTTTAAGACATTTAAAAAAAGTTTAATTTGTACTACAGACTCTGGATAAATAAAAATGAATAGTATAGTGAAAAAAAAACAATTACTGTATGTGAGGAAGAAACTGTAAAGTATAATAATAATAATCAGAATCATAAATTTTTTTTATGTCATTTTGCTTTAAACAAACATCTTTAGACACTATGTATCTTACGCTTGAAACAGGTGAGAATTTTCTGTCTAATCTCTTTAGTTTTAAAACCATACACAAGTGGATTGACAAGAGGAGGAAACACAAAAACTGTTATGGAAAACATCCTGCGTATGTGAGCTGGAACACTTTCAGACCGATGTGCAAAAAGGGGAAAAAGAGTGTTGAACTCCAAGAACAGGAAGACCACTAAATGAGTGACACATGTCTGAAGTGCCTTATTCTTTGTATCAGACTGCTTATTAGTAACACAGGCGATTAATATATGAATATATGTAAATGCCACAACAGAAAATGCAAGGATGTGGTACAAAACCAGGGTAAACAATCCATAGATATTATTCACTTTTGTGTCTTCACACATGAGTTTCATTATAGATGGATTATAACAGATGAGATCTGTCATGTGTGTCTGGCAAATCTTGTAATTCAGAAAAAGAGAGAAAAGAACAATTATGACAGTAAAATTAAAAAGCCACATCCCAGATATGATTTTCACCAAGTTATTGGTATTCATAATGGCTCCATATCTCAGTGGGGAGCAGATAGCGATATATCTGTCAAAGGCCATAGCAGTAAGAATAACATAGGATGCGCCACCATACAGGTGTACAACAAAGCCTTGAAGCAAACATGCAGGGTAGGATATGGATGTGTCCTGAGACCATATACTATACAGCAGCTGAGAAAAAAGGTTTGTAGCACCCATTGCATCATTGATAGGCATGTTAAGCAACAGTATGTACATTGGTTTATGAAGATTCCTGTTCAAGCAAATGGTGACAACAATTGTTACATTGCAGAGTAAGATGAACAAGTAAGTTGTTAATCCAAATATGAATGCAGGATAAATGCTCATCTCAGGCAGTTCCAAAGAGTGTAATGTCAGGACCAGTGAGCGGACAGATCCATTTGGATACATGGTTAATGTTAATTACTAATAGCCTGTTTAAAAAATGTAAACGGGTGTATAAAAGTTGAATATAGAATAATTTACTATTTCAGTATAAATAAACAAAAATTGATCATTTAGATTAAATCTAAATCTCACCAAACTGTTGAGCTGTCATGTTTACATTTTGCCTTGTTGCATCTCATGCAACCTGGAAAACTCAGCAGTACTTTTAACTACAGCACATCTAATTATCCACAACATATTCAATAAGATAAATGATGACTTTTCTTACTTCAGTGGTGTTGGAAAGCACTGTGTTGTTGTCATCTGATTTATACTTGTGCTGTTTACTATAGGAATGGATTATGTTATTTAGCATGCGCACATTAGATTCTAATCAAGTGACGTTCTCTACAGAGCAATATTTCACATGAGACAGAAGTCTAAATATACTGCCCTCTATATTGCCCCTTGAGATATAGTGCAGTAATATGTCAAAATAATGTATTGAATATTTTCAAATGCATAATTTTAAATAATTAAATCATTTTTATTTTCATAAATACATTGTTTTATTTTTTACTTTCTTGATTTGGTTTTGCTAGACACATTTTTTGCACCTATAATGATTAAGCATTTTTATATTTATACCAAATTAATAACTATATATGCAGTAACAAATTTCTACTTTGATGAATATTTTATTGGTGTCATTCAGCTGTTCAGCTGTTAGTTAACTTATAGTCAACTTATTTTATAGTTATTTTTCAAATAATCAGTCACTCGAACTCAGCAAACACTGCAGGTGTCATCATGGGCGGATTAAGTCTCTTGTGCCAAATTACACTGCAGATGTGGCACAGAAACACTTCTGAAGTAACATTTAGGTAACTTTAGTTTACACAAATGGTTTAATGCTGCTTGGAGGAGGCATGAATGCATTTACACAACAACCTTTACACAGCACTTTGATACTAGGGGCTGAGGTTTGTCAGAGCAGGCATAATTTAGTCTGGCTTTTGATTATTATCTAATCTTTTGATTATTATTATTATTATTATTTACTAAACTAAAAAAAATAATAATATTAATAAACTCGATAACATGGTAACTTCAAGTATATATCTTCCAGATGAACACGCACATCAAATAGACGTCTCTCACATAAATCCACATATTTTATGAAGAAAAATGTGTGTACATGTGTAGACAGGCTCCCATAGGTTACTGATAACTGCCATTTCAGGAAATTAAAGTTCTGACAATGCAGATTGGCTGATGAATGAACACAGCGAGAATGTACATTTTCAAGCTTCAAGCTATTGATCATGCTCTAGCTCTCAGATGAGTGCATGATAGAATTCTCATGTATGGACACAGTTTGGCTGTGTTTATGCAAATGACTAGCCAGGGCTCACATCTGCAAAAAATTTTCTCCACACATAAATGCACAAATTGTTTGAAATTGTTAGTGAATGAATATCAGTATGAGAATTTACGTTTATGTCAAATATTGTTATGATGTTTGTGAACAAATACTTTTTTGTGTGTTTGTTTTAATCAAACTGCAATAAATTGCTAAGCCTTTGGAAATGACCTTCTGTCAGGGGTCCGGGCCCTGTGTTTCTCCCTCTCACCACCAGAGGTCACCATCTCCCTTCCTCCACTCACCTGTCACTCATTCCACCCTCAGCTGTTCCCCATTGTCACAGACTATATATTCTCCTCTCACTCACCACTCTGCCTGGCTGAATTAATTGTAATGGTAGTTGTAATTTCTTGTTGTAGGTTGTGGATGCAAGCACTTTCTGTTGCCGTATTTGTATCCCGGTCCTGTTCTTGGTTGAGTTGTTTTTGCATCTGTTTTGCTTTGTCTGTTTTTGTTTATTAAATCTAGTTTCACCTGCACTTGGGCCCAGACCCTGTTTTTCCACGGTGCTCTCTTACCGCTCCATGACACATTCTTTTTCAAATGTATATTATTTTAAATAAAGAATTCAAATATATATTACATTTAAATCATTTAATAATTTTTCACCATTTTTTATCAACAACAGGTTAGATTCTCCATGAACTGTAAAAAAAAAGCATTAAAAAAACAGGCAAATGACTGGCAGCTACGGCTGCCAAACAAAAAATTACAGTAAAATTATCTTAATTGAAATAGTGCTAAAACAATAATTTTACAGAAATTTTCATTAAAGGTTTTACAGAAAAAAAAAATATATTTTACAGATTTTTCCTTGTTTCAATTATGATATATTACTTTAGCCGTAGCTGCCAATCATTTGACTGTTTTTCCGCTTTTTTTTTTCATTTGACCTTTTTTTTTCAACTCCGTTGAAGAATTTTTTTTAACAGTGCAACTGTAGTTTTGCAAAATTTCAAATAATATTGCATTTTTGACTACTGACTATAGATTAATAAAAATGAATGCATAGTAACTGAAAACAATAACTATCTGTAACTTTAAAGTATAATAATAATAATAGCAATAATAATAACAACAACAACAACAGTAATAATAACAACAATTTAAATCATATCACATATGTTTTATTATGCAAAATTTACACAAGCATTTTCAGACATTATTCATCTTACTCTTGAAACAGGTAAGCATTTTTTGTCTGATCTTTTTAGTTTTAAATCCATACACAAATGGATTTACAGGGAAAGGAAATACAAAATCTGTTATGGAAAACATCCTGCATATAAGCAGGAAAATTTCAGATCGAATTGCAACAAGGGGGAAAAGAGTGTTGAATTTCAAGAAAAGAAAGACAATCAAATGATTACCACATGCCTGACATTCCTTATTCTTTGCATCAGACAGCTTATTAGTAACACAACTGATTAATATATGAATGTAAATGCCACAACAGAAAACGCAAGGACATGGTACAAAACCAGAGTAAACAGTCCATAGATATTATTCACTCTTGTGTCTCCACAAACTATAGTCTCATTATAGTTGTATTATAGCAAATAAGATCTGCCATGTGTGTCTGGCAAATGTTCTTATTCACAAAAAAACAGAAAATTACAATTATGAGAATAAAATTAAAAAGCCACATCCCAGTTATGATTTTCACCGTTATTGGTATTCATAATGGCTTCATACCTCAATTTATATGCATAATTTGCACCTTGGAAAGAAAAACGAAATACAGTCGTTTTTTTGTAAAATCTCAGCATTACAAGTGTATAATGCTAATGTTTTTAGTTTGTAGTAATTAAAGAAGGCTGAAATGAGGTAAAGTTCATGCTGTTTTTTTTTTTGTAATTAAAAACTCCAATGTAAATGAATGTTTCTCTCATTTCCAGATTCAATAAATTAACATCACTACCAAAAAAAATCTATTTTGTATTTTTACAATAACAATGTAATTAACCTTAAATTTTTAAGGCATTATTACATTTATTCTAAATTAATGGGGTCATATGATACGATCTAAATTTTTCCTTTCTCTTTGGAGTGTTACAAGCTCTTGGTGCATAAAGAAGATCTGTAAAGTTGCAAAGACTAAAGTCTCAAATCCAAAGAGATATTCCTTATAAAAGTTCAGTCAGCCACACCTACCTAAAACGGCTCGTTCTAACATGCCCCCACATATCTACCTCACTATGTGGGAAGATTTGCATAACGCCGCCCAAATGTTCACGCAAAGAAAGAAGGCGTAACTTTTATTCTCACTGAAGTATTGTTGACGCTACAGCCATATCGTGAAGACGCTGTGTGCTTCGTTGTGAAAGCGAAACTACTTTGTTTGGTCTTCCAAAAGAGGACGATATCCGCTTCGTCATGCCTAGAGCTGATCTGTGCTGGTCGCTGAGGGAATACATCAACTTTCACCCTGGACGAAGCGGAGTCCAGCCCGG